CCCGAAGCAGGACAAGTGGCAACAAGTGGCTGATCCGTTAGACGTATCCCTTTTCCATCCCATCTCACTTCGATGCTCAAGTGGCTCGAAGGCGACAGTGGCTTGGCGCCAGTTTGATTTGATGGCCGCTCCCGGCTGCCGCAATTTGCTGTGGCCCAGCATCGAGTGCAAGTACCATTTAAAGGTCTGATTAGCCGGACTTATCACGGGCGGATCTCTTTGGAGGTATCCTCGCAACGGTAGCGACGAGATTTCGCTCCATCTACAAGATGCACGGCAGATTGCAGATGGGTTGCGATCATGACTGTGGGATATATGTATGAACTGATTATCAGAGGTTTGACACTCAAGTGCTGTCTCCAGATATGCCGATGATCAAAATGTTAAGTAACCTCGTAGATACCATGGAAGTAGTACATGGGAATTGAAGGATACGCGCTGGGAAAAAATCCCGAAGGTTTGTATACCTTTCAAGTATATGAACTAAAATTCTAAGAATGTCTAGAAATTCATTAAGTGGTGCTATTATATATTTATACTATATCTTAGTGTTGGGTTAATATACTCGATTTCTAACCAAACATAAACGACATCTTTGAATACTTTTACTTATATTTCAATGTATAACTTCATTATAAATAGCAACGAATAATATTTTTATTTTATTTCAAGCCTTCGCCATATTGATCACATTAATGAATAGTAAAATGCAGACTAATAAAATATATTGCCCGTATATTTTTGATAATGTATTTGATTTTACAAAAGTACTTTGCTTGCTAATACTTTTGTTTGTTGCTTAATTATTGCTGTCAAATTCAACTCAGGCTATTACAAACTGATAGTAAACAACAGATTATGACGAATAATTTCAAAACTGATCACTTTAAAAAATGTACAAAATTGGGAAATTTATAGGCAAATTGTTTTCGAAAAAGGCATTTTTGAAATTCATTTTCGTGCCTCCAAAATGACAGCTTCCCATTTCTGGGACAACGTAATCTCGCCGAACATTATTGGTTGGCCCATATCCAAAACGTTTTCCAGTTCCATAAATATTACCAGCGATTAGGCGACTTCAAAGAGCGTTCCCCCGATTCCATGAAGAAAAGCCCCATTCCCCATAGCCCTTCCCCAGTTCCCTTTCCACGTACCACTATCAGCAGCAAGATGGGTGCCGTGCCGTGCCCCCAGTTCCATGGGCGGAGGTCACCAGAAGCGCTCCACGGCGTCACGAAAATGGCGTTCCCACTGGCGCAGCGAGTGCGAGCGGGATGGCGTAACGCTCGCTGATAAGCGACCAATGGCAGGGAGATACACACTTGGTCAGAAGCCGAGGAAGTGGAAGCGAGAGAGCGGCTGAGTGGTGCATGCGGGCCACTTGAGCATGAGCATGCGCATGAGAACAGGTCGGGCAACTACCTGAGGATCGGAGCGGATCGGATCGGCAGAGCGAAGAGCAAAGGGAGAGGGAGGAACCCAACCGACCGGATTCTGGCAGAATTGAAGTAGTGCCCGCTCTGAGATACCCAGAGGCAGTCTCAATCTGGACAGCAAAGCGATCAGTTCGTGTGCCAGACGTCGATTTACCGCGGAATAATATCAACTTTAATATCGCCAGACGGAAAGATTAGGCACATATCACATATCTCCACAAAGACCCCAAACATGTTGACCTTGCCCAACATCGCCGATCTGCGCCTGCAGCAGCAGATCGCCCAGGAGATATACCGCCAGCAGATTATGCAACGTTTACCCGGTAAGTGGAGCACTCCCTTGGAGCACACCCTTGGTGATTTGCCGTCGGCTAACCCATCGTGTCCGTCGTCCACAGATCCTCTCTGCGGCCTGCTGCCCAACTTTGTCGGACACTTTGTGCCGCCGCCGCCACCGCCGCAACCCACTTTGCCCGGCGATGTGGAGGCCAAGCTGGAGAACAACGAACTGTGGCAGCAGTTCCACAGCATCGGCACCGAGATGATCATCACCAAGTGCGGCAGGTTGGTACTATTTTAACTGAACTATTTGCTCGCCCCCATCAGCTTATCTCCCATTGATAAGCCTTCTGCTCACTCTTCAATCTTAAGTCTTATGGTGGAAACGTGTCACTAACAGCCATTTACCATCGTCTCCATCTTTCCAGACGCATGTTCCCTTCGATGCGCGTTTCTCTGAGTGGTCTGGAAGAGGAGGCCAGCTACTGCGTGCTCCTGGAAATGGTGCCCATTGGCGACTGTCGCTACAAGTTCTCCGGATCCCAGTGGGTGCCGGCCGGAGGAGCCGAGCCGCAGAGCCCACAGCGCATGTATCTGCATCCGGAGAGTCCGGCCACGGGCAAACACTGGCAATCCCAGGCTCTGCTCTTCAGCAAAGTGAAACTGACGAACAACACGCTCGATAATAATGGTCATGTAAGTAATCGCTATCAAGAATTTGTATAATATTTAGTAGAACTGGGGTGTCTCGATCTTTTAAGATAATAGATGTGTTCAATCATGTATCTTAAACTGACCCTGTATTTTTCCAACTTTGCAGATCGTCTTGGCCAGCATGCACAAGTATCAGCCGCGTCTGCATGTCATACGCACCTCTGATCTCGGCCAGATTCCCTGGGCTCCCCAACAGGCCTTTGTCTTTCCGGAGACGGAGTTTATAGCTGTAACGGCTTATCAGGTGCGTGGTGCTATATCTCAGATAAAATGTGGCACGTGATAGCTAATCCTCTTGTTTGCCTTGCAGAATGACCGCATCACCAAGCTGAAGATCGACAACAATCCCTTTGCCAAGGGATTCCGTGAGTCGGGTCAGTCGAGATGCAAACGGAAGATCAGTGACTCGCCACCGCCATCGCAGCCAGAGATGAACCAGGTGGACCGGAGCCCGGTGACATCGCCGTTAGCCAAACGGTTGCGACTCGTGGAGGAATTTCCCCAGCACCATCATCAACATCAGAGTCATCAGAGTGCTCCTATGCAGCGTCACTATCTGCTGGATGCTCTGGAGGCCAATTTCTATGTGCCAGCGCCACCGCCGCCGGCCATCGAGTATGCCAGGCACATCGGCGGTGCTTATCCAAGTTGGGCCTACACCCCGCCATCGCCGGCCTCCTCCGTCTCATCCTCCTCAGCGGGCTCCACGAGCGGCGAATCCGCTGCCGATCGAGAGGCAGATGCCGATGCCGACACCTTTGTAGATGTCGTTGGAACCGCACCAGCTGCTCCACCGCCTCCTTCTCCACCTGTGCCAGCCACTGCCACTGCCACTACCACAGCTACTGCTCCGTCATCCAGCGATCCGATGGCCAAGCCGAAGCGCAGCAGCTTCAGCATCTCGGACATATTGGGAACCAGCTCGTCCATTTAAAACTATCAAGTGGGGACGGGCGGACGGCATGTGCTCCCGTTTGGATTGGAATCGGTGCCTTGTACATTTAATTAGCGTTTAGTTGCCATCGTCTGCGTAGTGTCTAAGCTGAATTGTGATATTTTGCAGTTAATTAGGATTTCCAGGTATTTGCCATCAGTATTTATCGTATTTATTATGCAATTTTAATTGTTCACATGATTTCGTAATGGATTTATTGTCTTTGGCATTTTAATGCGGCATAAATAAAATTGTACGTATTGTATACACAATGAATTCGATGGAGATATTTCTGGGATGCAACGATGCGGGGAATGTGGAGCAATTAGAAGAGACAGATGCGAAGAGCTTCCAGCCCGAAGATCTGAATAAATTCCCCAATAACTTCCCATGACTGCGCTTCGAATCCTGTTCCAGCAATTTGTGTGCCGCATGCGTCCATTTGCCCGTCCTCGCCGAATACATAATTCGGCTTGGTTTTGCCTTTGGTTTCGGTTTCATATCTCCCGCATGCGAGGCATAAAAACCAGTTCCTCCTCCTCCTCCACCTCCACCTTCTCCTGCTGCTCGGTCTGCTCCACCTTCTTGTGAACCTTCTTTCTAAGAGCAGAACAACCCACCGGCAAGCCAGCAGCATCGGCAGCAACAACATGGTCATGGGCTTATCAGCAGATCAGAGCGCGCCGCATCTTAAACGCTGGCGCCGGCGCCAAGTTAAATGCGCTGATTGAGCGCCACGATCACCGGCAATCCTGGCGAGCAGTCCGATTCAAATACCCAATCCACAATCCACAATCTCCAGTCCCCACTCCAGCGTGTAATTGATGTTTTCACATTGTAGTTGTTAGCGAAACTGTGGCCATTTACATGCAATTGTCCGGGTGTCCCATCACACATCTCCATGTTATCGAGCGGAAATGAGGCGGCTCCTTTGATGGACCAGTCCGCCAGTCGCAAGTGTTGCACCCAAAGAGAGCCGGCTAGATGATTGGCCAAACAGGCGAGCTTCGACGGTGGCATTCGCTTCAATTCGCGTTAAGAAACAATTGTTAAGAGCAGGGACCGCAATACCCACACACGTAGCTGCAACCTGTTTTTTGGCCCATTCATGTTGCCGCTGGAAGTGTTTATGGGCTCCACATTAGCCACACTGCATATTCATGTTGAACGTCGCCAAAAGACTAACGACAACGTTTGGTCCATTGTGTTGTTGCTGTTTCTGTTGCTGATGCTGCCGCCGCTGCTGTTGCTGCTGTGGTTGTTGCCCTTACCTTTACCTGAAATTTATTGAATTCTCATTTGGGGGCATCCGCTGGCTGGGCCCAGAAGAGAGAGTCCATGTTTGGGGCCAGAGCAAGGCAAACATTCGCATGTCAGCGGCAAATGAGCTCCGACCCGGGCTCACTCGGCGATCTGCCAGCACAGATAAGCCATCCCCTTCAGCGGGCATGTGTAATTTCCCTGGAAATTAATGCTGCGGCGGCCAAAATCAAAGTCATGGGCAACATATTTCGCTGGCGACAATTTTATCGGCAGCACAATGAAATCATTTGGAGCCGGCGACGACGTTCCCATTCAACGCTGGCGATATTATGTCTTTGCCGGGGTTTGACAGTCGCGTATGTTTGGCGCTCTAATTGCTTTGGTAGTTCTGAATCCTTTATTGCAGAAAGATATCAGTTAACAAAAAGAATGTCCAATCGGTCAGCGCAGGTGGTGCTATGATAATACTAGTTCAGTATAGATTAGTATGATGCCATAAAAGTTGAGTGGTGATTATGAAAGTAGCAAGGTAGTTGAGTGTTGATCAAGATGATGTTCTATGTCTAGTATATGCTATCGCCAGTGCGCATGTGCGCACGACGATGCCAGTGATTGGGATTCTTGAACTCCACCAATCGGGTCAAATCGAAGCCAGCTGGCACTATAATGGGCGCCTTAACTCCGGCCAACATAGGAGTTTCAATTCGAGCTGGTGGTGGTATTGGTATGTCCGGAAAGGGGGACACATACTCCTTCTCCACGGATTTGTCTGTTTGCGGAGGAGTTATGATGGTCTGAAAGATAGCGATTAAAGAAAATAATGTAAGAAAAAAACTAAACCTACTTTTGTCGACTCGACGTCCTTCGTGGCAGCTTCCAAGTTAGCATCACTTGCGATCTTAGATGAATCCTTGTCGAAATAGGCCTCCAGGGCCATGGAAAACTCGCGCAAGCGGGAGACCTTGGCCTGGCAAGGTTTCTGCTGCGAATCGATCCAAATCTCGGTGAAGGCGTGCTTTTGCAGTGCCATCGTCTTGGGATTGGTGGTTAGGTGCTCTTTTCTGATCGTAACTGGATGGTCCAGGTTGAAGAGTTCGTTGCAGGGTACCTGCTTCGAGGAAAGCTCCGGAACATCTCTGTGGCAACGTGGCATGGGGCTCTGCTGCTGACTTATCGGCGATATGGTAAACTTTATGGGAGACTTGAAGCAAGCCGCATTCTGTGTGGGCTTGCCGGCGGAGCCGCCATCGCCGGTGGAGGAGTCGCTGGAATGGACCTCAAAAACGGGTGAGGCGCCAGGAAGCGTGGTCTTCGAAGACTTCACAACGCCCTGGATCAGGTGGGTGGGTATCTCAATCTAAGGGGGATAATTTTAACACTATGCGCTGTATACATCCCGTATTCCACTTGCCATTTCCTCCAAGGAGGTCTCATCCTTCGATCCGGAATCGAGGTCCGCGGCGCTGTCGCAGTCGCTCTCCGAGAGCGAGGGGCTCAGGTTGTCCAGGAAATGCTCGCTTTCGTTGAAGGAATGGAAGGAGTCATTGTCGTCGTTGTCCGAGAAATTGTTATCAACAAGAGCGCTCATTTTGCTTGCTTATTATCGTTAAATGATTTAGTTGTAAATTGGTTTTCTCCGAATGGCGCAAAAGTCAAAATGACAGCTACCAGGGTTGCCGAGCTTTTCACTTGTCATACCCCAAAAGGCTTATCTACACGATCGAGTTTTAACGATGCTTCTGTTTACAGCTCTAAATATAAAATTACTAAATTAATTACATTTTATGTACTAAAAGAGGGGAGATTTAATGTGCATAATAAAAAGCCCATTATTATTATATTCGGCACATATATTTACCACTCACTCAACATTCACTTTAATAACAAATTTAGGAAGTTCGCTGGTTAGGCTGCTAAAATTATCAAATGTACCGAATGTGTTATTAATAATTACCATTTTCAAGATTTATTATAATTTTACAACAAAAAGTGCAATGCAGGCACCTTACGCGCGTGCTTCGGCGAACTTGGCAACTCTCTCATTAAATGGCGCGTAATTATTCGAATTTGATTTTGTGGTTTGTCTTGGCAGACAAGACAAGTATGCAAATATGTAGCCGCTAACAATGCTGCTGCATTTTGCACTCAATAGAGTTGTAAACAAAGCCAGGACAATGCGAACGGACCTCTATAAAGGATGTGCGTACTTGACGACGGCCATTGTGCTCTGGTTATGATTGTTCCCCTTCGAGTATTTTCGAACTGATCCCCAGATTTGTCCATATGATCATACATGTGTATATGCACCAACCCATCCGGTGAGCACTGTAGTGGACCTGCTTATGTGGGTGATTTTCATTATCCTCTAATTGTTTGTGCCATTGTTCACGCGATAGGTTTGAGAAATTACACGCTTTGTTAATTGTGCCAGCCCAAAAGGGTCGCCCTTTCTACTCATATGCAAAGTATGCATTTTCCAGCCCACATGTGAGCCCATTTGCATAAACTGCTTCCACGGCCTTTGTTGTCCGGTGGCCAATCTTGCTGCTCCTGTTGAGCCTCATCTTGGTGGTGGGTTTGTTCTGCTCTAGTTTAAAACCCCAGCTTAGTAGGGACGTCTGCTGGATGGTACAGGTCGATTTCTGAATCCAAACGACCTGGGTCGGTGCATCCGTTTTATGGCTTGGCACCGGCGACATGGCAACCTTTCTTTGCCACGCTTTGTTGCATTCTCCTCGCGACCAATATATTTGCATTGGCCGACAATAAAATCTCAAGTACCAGCCCATTGTTGCCATCTTGTTTGGTTGCCATCTAACGCCGGGCGCAGACTAGACTGAAGTTCAGAGATCGGCTCAGACGCTGGCTCTCCGGGATTTGGGATCTACTCTAGTTTCCTAAGTGCCTTAAATGAATACCCATCGAGCAAATCCTAGGGATTGTTTTCTGAAGCTTTAGATACTGATATTTATTTATTAATTTATGGTATGATATTCAACTCCTTCAAGGACCTAGAGTACCTATTCCTTCTCGAATCAAGTCTCAATTTGAAGTGGCAGCCACGCGTGCTCAGTGTAAAATGCTTTTCCAACTCATTAGCACCGACAGTGCCAGTTCCCCCTAATAACTAATTAACTTTCGTTTAGGCAACAATTTTCCCCCTTTCCTTGCCCAAATTCGAGTTCCCCAAATTCGTGTGTGTTTACACAACAAAAATGCTGCTCGACAAAGTGTATCTAATTTCATAGGCCAACAAAAAAAGGCAACTTGCAGCGGCCGGGCAACAAATGTGGCAGCGTAAAAAGCAACAGCCATAGTGCATTAATTATCCGGAGGACCTGCGACATCTGCCGTTGGCTGGGGTTCCACTCGCCTGGTGGTGCGGATGAGGGAGTTACGTCCATTTAATGAGGCATTCATTGCACTCGCAACCTTGCGCCTGTCAACACACGCACTCGCACACACGGCCGACATCTGTCACCCGTTTCAGGCCGGGATCCCCTATAAAACCGCAGGCCAATAGATGCCAACTGATCCCCAGTGGCACAGAGCGACAGCACTTCGAATGGCGACAATTTCGAATCGATTTGGTGCACTGACAGAAAACGAGTGACTTTGCACACCAACATTGGTTCGACTATTTAAAGGTACTACGCTATACTGCCTTACTAATATACTATATTATATTGCTACTATACTATATTATATTACTGATATACTATATTATATTACTGCTATGCTGTATTGTATTACTACTATACTATATTATATTATATATAAGAGACCAAGGCAACGAAATACACAAATATTCTGTAGAAATACCCTGCCGTGCGTGTCAGTCTCTCAAACAGATTTCTTTCAGTGTGCTAAATTGAATCAACCGTGTTTGTTTTTCCGATGGCTGGGCGGGCAGCGGTGTCTGCACCGCCCCTTTGGCCCTCGAATGCAGACGAGACGTGGGTGGTGACGCATGTCATCGTAAACTTCATCATTGGCTCCGTTCAGCCCTTCGGCAGTTGGGCTAGATCCTCCGGCTCTTCAGCTCTGCTGCTTAGCTCTGCAGATCTGCGGCGACTTACATAACGAATTGTGTATTTTCTTTGGCTTCGTCTCAGTCTCTGCCCATTTCATAAATAACATGGGCCTCCGTCTCCGTCTCCGACTTCTCCGACTCCGATTCCGGCATCGGCATCGGCTCCGGATCGGATTCTCTGGGGAAGCATCCGACCAAGAGAGGGCTGCAACCGAATTTCATGCCTTGTCGAGCTATTTAATTGCAAACAAATTATGTTCTAGCCAGTCGCATCTCTGTGTGGCTAATGGATGTTGCGGCGTAGGATGCGCCCTGATGATGTTGTCGAAACCCGAACGTTTATCTTGTAAATTGGTTGGGATTAATGTCTGGCGGAAGTTGTGATTTCCAGCCCAAGATCGGCCAATGATAGAGGCCCAACTGGCGGTAGTATTTTTCCCACTCAGATATGTTCATTTACCTACAGCGATGGCTGGGCGTTCTGGCTTTGAAGGCTCAGCCCAGCAGGAGGATCTATATAATCCTAATTGAAATAAAACGAATTGATTCTCATAAGAGAAAGTATGACTTTAGACTAAATTTAATGGCTTAACGTTAGGCGGAACGTAATAGCTAATCAGGCTACGATCTTTATAATATCAATATGAGTGCAATGAGTAAATTTCAATGTTTTTGAGCACTTAATCTAGATCTTAGAACTAGATTTAAAAACTGTAATATGTCTAACTTCCACCCCCCAAAATGGCCGATATGCTGAAGCCCTTGCTCCTGGCAGAGGGTTGTTCCGGTGGCTGTTCCTGTGTAGACTGCTCCAATGTGCTCGTTTCACTGCCCACATCCAGTTCGAGTTCTTCGGCTCCCGACTCATCGGAAATGAGATCCGCACCGGAAACTCCGGGGGGCAGGTTCAGGCCAGGATGTGGGCCCAGGCCAGCCTGTATGATGCCTGCTGGTGGATAGAGAGGTGAGGCCTGAACCGCTCCACCGTACTCATGGGGTCGCCCAAAGTAGGTGCATGCCAAATCCACCAGCGAAGGCCTCAGCAGACTCTGCATATTCTGCTGAAAGTGCTGCATAAAAACGCTGGAGGCACTCCTCGCCTGGAGGGGATGCGGATGGAGATGGGGCGGTGAGGAGCCGAGGGCCAGCGAACTGGCGCCAGCCACCGACTGATCGTCCAGCGATGATGATAAGGAGCAGGCGGAGCCATTTGATCTCAGGCGCTTAATTTGCGGTCCATCCGAATCGCCGATTGTCGATGCTCCTCCGGCTGTCTCACCGCCTCCTTTCGTTGGCGACATGTCAGACTCGGACTGGGACTGGGACTGGGAATGGGATAGTGACGGCGACTGATCTTGATCCTCGCCGGTTGGCGATGAAGACATCTTGCGTTTGCAGCGCGATTGTCCCGTTTCGCGGAAGCCCTTGGCAAACGGATTGTTGTCGATCTTCAGCTTGGTGATGCGATCGTTCTGCGGAAGAAGACATGAAGACGAGCGTGAAATATGACGATGGCCAGCATAATCTTGGGCAACGGGTGGATGGAGAAGGAGACTCATCACACAACGTCACTGGCGTCCAGTAGCTGGCGTTAAGTAACATGGCCACTTGACACCAGACTGGGTTTCCAGTTCTCAGTTCTCGGTGCACAGTGCACAGTTCCACTCCAGATGACTTGACAACTTTGTGATCTTTCGGATTTCTCAAACCGAATCTCCGATCTCTCGGCGATCTTGCTAATTAGAGGCAGACTGGCGTCGGCTGTCAATGGGTCAGACCTAGACAAAAACACAGCGAGGCGCTCAAATTTACAAGGATGTGGCTATCCAACTTCCTAAAACAACAATCCGACCCGCTGACTTTCTGCCTGCCCTGCCCACCAACTACACGATCTGCGATCTACGGATCCCGCATCTCGAATCCCGAGTCCCGGATCCCGGAGGCGTTCCATGCTAATTCGAGACGTTGACCACGCTACCCACGGCGTGAGCGATCGCCGCTCGTTTGCCCAAAATTAACCAATTAGTGTGATCGTTTCCAGTCTCTTTGCTCAATGAATTGGCAAAAAAAATCCACACAAGTAGGAGGCTAACTTCGAGGACACATGGCTTGAATACTCTTGGCGAAACATTTTTGTTAAATACCTAATAGTGTGACTGAAGACAGCCTTGGATAGGTCTGATTGAGGCATATGATTTAATCAATGATAGGTATCATGAGGTGGTCTTGAACTGGGAATCTTCACCGATATTTTACTTGAGCGTGCTAACTAGACTTTGAGCTAGACACATTCCCCAGAGAAGTTTACAAACGTGTTGGTCAAATGGTGACTCCCCTTGAGAGGGTATGTGGAGTAGAGGGTATGTGGAGTAGGGGGTATGTGGAGTAGAGGGTATGCGAGTAGGGTGGAGATGGCACCACTTACCTGGTAGGCTGTCACGGCCACGAACTCGGTCTCGGCGAACACAAAGGCCTGTTGGGGGGCCCAGGGAATCTGCGCCAGATCAGCGGTGCGTATGACGTGCAGACGCGGCTGATACTTGTGCATGCTGGCCAGGACAATCTGCGATTTGGGATGCGAGAAGGGAGATTGAGCGTGGATTAGTAACTGGAGCTGGCTTCAAAGCCCTGGCCGCACTTACATGGCCGCTGTTGTCCAGCGTGTTGTTGGTCAGCTTGAC